CCCCCAAACAAAATGTCCACCCCTCCAAAAAAATTTTCAACCCCCCCAATATTCGGCATAATAAAAAATAATTAAATAGTCCACTCCAACGTGCAGAGTGTTGATGATACAAAATAAACGTAGGAGTACACGCAAATAGAAAAAGACGCAATACCGTCTGAAACTAATTGCTCCTCGCTTGCATTCACTGGTTTATTGGACCAATTGTAAAGTTTTGAAACTCTATTATCTCCCCTGAATTGAGTTTGCAGTGCCTTGTCATGCAAATAGCTTGCTTGCAAAGAACGTTTGGAAATTTTACGAACATTATTTTTAGTTTTAATTCTTTTAGGAAATAGTCTTGCCTAGATTTAATCTTTACGTCCCAAATATTATTTACATCGGAGTTGCATCATAAATTGTGCTCGGATTCAAACGACACAATGTCAATGATTTTATAAAAGTAAAAGCATATTGTGTATTGGCCTATTGAGTTTACACTTTTACAGCTTCATTTAACTTTAACTCTCTCAAGTCTCAACAGACAATTGGACAGGCCAAATCCATTGATGTGACAACTTCAAAAAACGTTTTTTCGAAGCTAGAAATCATGATTTTTTTCAAATTTTTCCAGGGATACTTTGTTTTCAGCTCTCTAGACTCCCACTCGCTGCTCTAGTCCTCCACCCCTAGAATATAGACCCCCCCCAGGAAAAGTCCCTTTTCCTTAAAATTATACAAACAAACCAGCGAAGATTAACAAATACATAAACGGAAAGTAAGTTTTAGGCTTCATCCCTTGTCCTTGTTTAACAAAATCGATTTAAATTGTTACTTTTTTCTAAATTATTGTTAATAATTTTTTTTATTTTTTGGATGCTCAGAATGCAGGAAATAGCATTTCCGGGTTTCAAATTTCAAAAATTTTCTGGGGATTATCCCTCTAATAAGCCGATAAATTACAGTTAATATTCTTTTTTACTTTTTGCGCATTTTTTCCATCTTTTACTTCAAATACAAGTATAGTTAGCATAAATTTTAGAGCAAATTTGGATGCTCAGAATGCAGGAAATGGCATTTCCGTGCTTCAAATTTCAAAAATTTTCTGGGGGAGTACACCCCCACACACCTGACCATTGCTATCCTCCTCTAATAAGTAATGATAAATGATGGTTATTTTTTTTTACTTTTTGTGCGTTTTTTTCTTTATTTATTTCAAATACAAGTATAGTTAGCATAAATTTTGGACCAAATTTGGATGCTCAGAATGCAGGAAATGACATTTCCGGGATTCAAATTTCAAAAATTTTCTGGGGGAGTACCCCAGACCCCCCCCCCCCATTCATGCGTGGTATATTGGCTACACACATGGCCTTCAGCCATTGCTATCCCCCTCTAATATATTATCTCACGGAAAGGTCCCTTTTCAAAAAATGCCCCCCCCCCACGGGAAAATCCTTAAAAAAGGCCCTGGTGTTGCTTCAGTCACCTGTTCGCGGCTCACCCCCCTAAATTTTCTGGCACCACCCCAGTAAAAAATATGAAAATCCGTCTATGAGTACATTACACCACACAGAAAAATTCATGATTATTAGATTACATTGATATCGAAGGAACTGGTTTCGGTTCCGAAATATCACATACTCGAAACGACCTGGCCGCGTAGCTCAGTTGGGGCATTGGGTTGTAGGTTTGCAAACAATTTGTGGTATTTTTTTCATTGTGTTTTTAATCCTGTAAAGCTATAAAAAGCGAACAACTTGCCGTTTTCTCGTTCGCAAAACATCTGAAATTCAGTTTTGTTTTTCTCTACTAGCAGGACACGAGCTAATATCCTGCTTGTAGAGAACTCCCGTAAACAGATTGCAGAATACCTCATATCCAGACATTGCCATGATTGTTAAAAAGGCCTCCAAGCGTTTTCATATCCTTAGAGTTCTTAAACGGGGTGGAATCCCACCTCATGAACTGATCCTTATTTACTATGCTCTCATTCGCTCCGTGCTAGAGTACTGCTGCATTGTAAGGCATAACAATCTACCAGCTTATCTGGCGGACTCAATTCAATGAGTTCAGAAAATAGCAATGATAATCCTCCCTGGCAGATCTTACCGTGAAGCTTTGAGTCAGCTCCATTGTTCTCGTCTAGATGTGAGACGCGATGCTTTGTGTGAAAGAACGATTAAAAAGATAACTGATGGTAACCGCTCTCTTACCTCAGACTAGAGAAAACGTGAACTACGATTTACGTAACGCTAACAATTGGTCATTGTTCAAATGTAGAACTGATCGTTTTCAGAAAAGCTTTTTTCCAAGTATGATTCGAGTTTTAAACATGTCAACATGACACTTTTTTGAATATCTCAACTATTACAATATATACTTTCCTCACATCTAAATTATTAAATTGTAAATATAGTATTACATTTATTGTATCTTAGTTTATAACTTAGTTATGTAATTATTGAACCGCATTGTAATTCAATTTTTTGTGATAGTGTGCCATTAAAAACGCATATATATATATATATATATATATAATAAATTCATATATTCGTGTTCTGCCCGGGGGATTTCTTTTGAAAGCGATTGTCGTCATATCACGCGTCACGCGTGAAATACTGTAACATCCCACGTAGATCTGCCGTGGGGTTATTATATTATATATGCATTGCATATATGCGAAATCATGAATTTGAGTGAAATACCGTAAAAAATCAAATTGTCACGTGGTACAAGTGACATTTTTTGATTCGACAATTTAAAATTAAAGTTGTAATATTTCTTGAAATCAACATTTTTTACTCATGGCAGTCCATTAAAGGTACTACGCTGTAATACGCTGCAGCTACCCAAAAACCAAAGGATCCAGTCGCTCTTTAATACAGTAATTTAAGGTTAATCCTATGTTTTTGTTTCAGTACAGTTCAATTGTCAGGTAGTGCCTTTCATAACATGTTTTCAAAAGGGTTTAAAATATGCTTCCGAAATGCCTTTCGTGGTTGTATGCTCCAGGCAGGCAACCCCCTGCCCCCCCCCCCAACCTGAAAGCCTTTGAATGATAGCTTAATAACAAAGCCGTAGCTAGACCGATAATTGGGGGGGGGGGGGTGCATATTCATATATTCGTGTTCTGCCCGACAGATTTATTTTGAAATTGATTGCTTTTACGCTACGTGAACATGAATATACCCCCCCCCCCCAATTATCGTGTCTAGCTACGTCCCTGCTTAATAACTGTAACTGTTATTTTTCAACCATGCATAAAATCACAACTGGTAAGCTATAAAGTAAGCTATATAAATTTAAGGAATAAAATTTTAAAGACTACGAAAGGTTGTCATATGTTAGCAACATAATTTCCCCCATCCCCCCAATTATTAAGAATAATATGAAACAGGTTTTGAAAGTAGTTCTGAAAGTAGTTCTGAAAGTAGTTCTGAAATAGAATTGAAACACTGCATGTCCTCTAAGCCAAGCGTTAAGTCATCAAGAAAATATTTCGTGCAGTTAAATTGGATAAGACTCGCTATCAATCCCCGTTGACTCGATAGGTCAATGGGTAGAGCGGCGGTCTAGATACCCGAAGATGCGAGTTCAAATCCCGCTCGAGCCAACGAATTTTGCATTGGTCTATTCCAGTGTCAGAATAATATGAAACACGTTTCTACCTAAGTTTTTACAAGAAGAAATAGGAAAGTAGAAAACCCACATATTTTTTTGCACAACGTTACTTGTTGCGACAATAACAAATATAGCGGTAACCATTATACTGTAGCGGTAACCATTATACTGCAGATAACGTGCGTGGATACACAAGGAGTCTTTCTCATGGAACGCCGTTAATAGAGAGGTTCACATTTGACTTCCACTAGGCCAAAAAAAATGTGGGTTTCCTATTTCTTCTTGTAAAAACTTAGGTAGGGTAGGTCGGTTTTAACTTTTTTTTTACTTTCCTAACAACCGGACGCCATTTTGTTTAGTCAGTGCTTCCAAATTCAAAGATAAATTTCCCCAATATTGCCTCAAATTTCCATTTTTCACACACGTTTTCCTCTAACCGGTGTAGCGGTCTGAGATTGCACCGTGCTGAGATTGTAAATCGTTGTTCTGCTCATGCGCAGTGACCGTATGCGCCTGCGGTCGCGTCCGCTGTATTCACGGCGTGCTGAGATTGCATCATTGGCACATCAAACCACAAATAGGCCGTGGGCTGTTGTTCGAAAAAGTGCCTAGAAAAGCAATTTCGTGGCACCCACCTGGGAAATAAATTTTCTGTGGTTCAATTCATAGAACCATAGATGCTTAATTACCACAAAAAGTTCCCAAGCAAAAAACTTGCCCAACACCGAGAAAATGGGTGATCAGTGATTATCCTCTATTAAATTGTATTACAGCAAGAAAATGCAAAATTTGGTATTCAATTACAACAAAAATGACTTGCATTATCAGAAAGCTTACAAAAACAATGACTTACATTTTCAGCACGACAATCTCAGCACGATACAATTTCAGACCTCCGTACCACGTGCTGAGATTGCATGCTACACTTGGAGCAAGCGCAATAGTACTAGAACAATCTCAGCACGAGGACAATCTCAGACCGCTACACCGGAAACACTTACAAGCATGATCCAATAAAAAAGTTTAGGGTCGGGTTTCGGCGTCCAAAAGCAGGTAAGGTCGGGAAACCGGAAACCCACATATTTTTTTTGGCCCTACTGCTACCATTAAGAGACCATTAGCCAACCAGAAGCGTTTTATATATCCGATTAACCAATCAGATGCGTACTAAGACAGTAAGAGGCAGTGGTAGCGGCATTGGGAGTCAAATCTGAATCTCTGTCACTATTCGTACTTCTTCATTAATCATGGCACGGTTATATACAGGTATGCACAATATAGGCTGAACCTTACACTGTTTCTTACCGAGTAATAATGGTAGAAGATAGCCACACAGAATATTCATGATATAACCATGGAGACTGCTGCTTACTGACGTCATCATCGTTGTCAAGGTGATTGGAAGGTCGTTCAGCCAGTTCTCAGGAAGAAATGGTACCAGAGATACCATAATATGAAGAATTGTGAGACCACAATCTATAAAACAGGAAAGAATTTTGGCCAGGATTTAGACCCTGGTTACACTAGAGCGAAAGTTTTCGGATTCATCACGAAATTGGAACGTTTTAGTACCGGATTCATGTTGCCGTTTACACACGCAGCGACAAATCGGATAGTTAATCTTCTCCGTTCCGTGCCGTGCCCGAAAACCTTGAATCTGGAAATTTTGAATCCAGAAACGTTGGTGGGGACTTCGTAGTTCATATCCGAAAAACATTTGAGGCCGGAGAAAACTCTGGTGTATACGGTATTCCGTACAGAATCCAAATAAATTTATTCTGGTGTATGTTTTCAACTTTATTGTTATTAAATTTAACCGCCAAACAGGGTCAAAACTTCGCACAATATTACTAAGAGGGTTAAAGGCTGTGTAGTGTAAACGCCTCACGGATCCGTATACTTGAAAAACAAGAAATCTTTTATTGGAGTGTTTTCTCTTCATATCAAAATTTAGAATTCATAGTGAGGGTGCTTTCACTTCAAAGCTTTCAAAATTATTTTAAGTAAGTGTCTTTGATGTGAAACTAGGTGGCTGAGGGGGCAGTGAACGATGCTCTACCGAAAAATACTGCGCCTCCAGGAAGACATTGCTCCCAAAGCAACAATTGCCATTTTGTGCATGGGGAATTGTGTATGGAGTGCAACCACTCTCAAAGTGGATATGGTGGGTATTTCTTCAGGGGGATGGTCACACATACAGTATTACATTTTGGGAAATGGTGGATATTTCTTCAAGGGAATACTTACCAAGAGGGGAGAAGGGGTTGTTAAACACTATTCTAAGAAGTAGGAGTGGTCACCTTATGTGGTAAATTATATTAATGGTTTGAGGATTGCACATATACTATATAACTCCTAAATAATTTATGTAGTAAGACATTTACTATGGAGTATGGACTAACCTTCGTGCCCCTCCCCAACATGCTGGATCACATGAAGTAAATCAACAAGTGTTGTAAACAAGCCTGTGTAGTCCAAAATAACAATTTCTTCATGATTAAAAGAACTTCCATCCTTTGCTATTTCTGGTGCTGCTTCCTTCACAAGGCTACATGGATTAAGGAATTGTGTAAAGAGGATTTTATTATTCCAGAATTGCAAAGAATAATATATTTTACTTGCCATATTTATATTGAACCTAAGGCCTAGCATCGGTCTGCCAGCCGGTAGGTCACACAATATTAGATTTGCTTGAAACAAATAATAAATAATTATAATAATACTGCTTGACAAATGTGACAATCGGAAAAATTGACACCTAAATCTAATCTAAATCAAATATTAACTTTCTTCAGAATATTGAAAAATTTAAGTATTTCTAAACCCATTTCTACCCCAAGAAAACTATTTGTAAAGTTAGAATATATATCCAAACTCTTTTGTATGTAGTTGCTTGACAGAAATTCTTAATTCAGAAATTTTTTCAGTACAGTAGTATATTAATGTGTGTGAATGTAAATTGACAAAAAGTTGCTAGCCTTTAGGTTCAACATAAATACGACAAATAATACTGCAAAATGATGTAACCATGCAACTGCAAAGTGAAACAAACTTTTGATTTTTAAGCATGTAACTGTTGAGGATAAATTAGTATACAAAAATTCTTGTTCATTACTGGGTTTTACATGTAACCCTTTACGTAGCAATGCGTCCATATGCGCCCTACTTTATTATTTATCAGGCAGAGAGTGCTGCCACTCAATGGGTTAACTATTGTTCATGATATATTTAGGCCAAATAAAAATAATAGTTCGTTTCAGGTTTCACAGCCATGTTTTATATGGGTAGGTAGTTCGGAAAAACATTTTATTTAAAAAAATATTTTATCTCAATCAGCGATGCTGGACTTTCTTCATCAAGTTCAAGCGTTTCTTTCGCCGCCATTGTTTATGAGTAACTGTCACGCATGATCAAACGTGCCTCACAGGATCACCTGTGAGCTACATGTGTTTCGCGAGAAACAAACGCATTAAGGCATTTTCGTCTTTTTTCAGCCGTAGCTGCCACGTCAGAATAATGCCCGTTTTTTATATTTTATTCAACTGTTCTTTGTGTTTAACAATGATTCCAACAACAACAATTTATTTTTCGCACCACCAAGTAAAATAACATATACATGATTCTTTTTTAAATATATAGATATTATGGCACAGGTCACCAGAAATAGTGAAGACTAAACCAGTCTAGTGACCTTTTATAAAATAAATGAAATAACGAGTTTTACATCATTTTGTATAATTATAACATAACTAGATAATTGGTACACGGCTAAAAGAACATCAAAAGGCTGTTTCAACTTTAGACAAGGGAAAATCAGCTTCAGCAGAACATGTATGTTACACCAAACACGAGATTGCGTGGGAAAACTCTAAAGTAATTACCACAAACAATCGCTATGGTCAAAGATTTTACCCAGAAGCGTGGCATATAAATATGAGTAATCATGCTTCGAATAGGGATGACGGTGCCTATTTGCCAGAGGAATACAAGCAGCTCATTGGGCTTTGTAATCATTTATTTAAACCAGAGTAGCGAGCAAAACATGGTTGAATAAGATATACCTGGTTGCAGTGAACTAACAAACTTTAAAATTAAATGACTAGATAATGATTAAATTATAAGCAAACAAAACAATTTGTAGACAAATGAATCGGTCATGACTATTTATATAATATTCTGCTAAATTTAATACAAAAAGCTGATCTCTACTGGGAAATGTCGATAAAACGCTTAAACGTTTATGATAGGTTGGAAACCTAAAACCAACTATTATTTTTATTTGGCCTTAGTAGTTTTTTAAAAGTGTAATTAGATTATAATGTTTTATGAAATTGACATTTCCATGAAACTTTATTATTTTACTCTGTCTAATTCCAGATGATTTTACTTGTTATAAATAGATAATCTACGGTTAAATAGAGCAACATTTACATACCCAAGCAGTATCTGGTGAAAATATGTTAGGTAATTTGTCACATCATATGAAGACGGTAGTGGGTAAGTCTCTTCCTCAATACGTTTATAAATCTGACGAAGGCCATGGACTCTACCTCCAACTATATTTAAAAAAAAAGAAAAATGTGTTTGACATTATTTTCAAATAGTTAGTGCAGCAATGCGTACAAGCATCTAGGAACATCTGTGACACAGGCTATAACTATACTGTATGGTACTGTACTTATATTTAATTGAAGGGTATTGTGGATGGAAATATTGAGCACTTGGAAATTTATACTAGTAATAGTTTACCCACAGGGAAGTGAATGCTGCCTTGGTATAGCAATATTGTTCCCAAATTTTTAATATTTTAAAGAATAAAAGTAAGAAATATTTGCAATGAATTGGAATCATCGATAATTTATACACTTGAATGTGCCGTATGATAACTCGGCGCTCGAAGTTTCGTATCGAAAGAGGAACAGCTGAACAGGTATGATAGCTAACAAGAATGAGTGTACTTATCAAGATTATCAACTTATCTATTTGATCCCGATCTAGTATATAAAATTGTATAGACATTTTGCCTATATTAAGAAATACGGTGCTAGGTCAAAACAGCCCCGCTTCAATAATCATATGATCTAGACCAGGGGTTAAATGGCAATGACAATGAGTCGGGTCATTGACATGCAGGTGACATTTAACATGACTGTGAGTGTGCATCTGGGAGGGTACAAAAGCTGGACCCCCTCATCTGGACCCCCTTCTGGACCCCCTTCTGGACCTCTCAGAATATAAAATAAATTCAAAATAGGGATTAAAATAAATACTTTGCAGAAATAATGATTTTCATAAATAATAGATTTTAATTTATGGAAGTGGGCCTAGTTGCGAAGTAGTCTTGTGTAATAGGTTAGACAGGTCACTACTTTATATTAGATCAAAAGAATAGTTTCGGCCATGTTAGGGTCAGGCATATTTCGAGTTACGGATAGTGCGCCATATTTAGCGTTTTTATATTGTTATTATCGTTGATGCACTATCTCCTTGCAAGATGAAGTAACAACAAACTATAACTTGGCGGGAAAAAAATAATAGCATGTTGTGCTTCCTTATTCTGTGACCTTGTTTAAAGGGTATGGGCAATTTTATTCATTTTATTGCTTCATCTGAAAGAGCATGAAAAATTAAGCCGGTTGGCCGTTTAATGCTCTATTCTATCTCATCTAGTTCCGAAGTTATATGCAAAAATGTGCAAAATATAAATTGCTGATTCAGCACAAAGTGTGACGTCATTAGCTGGTAAGAATGTTTATTGAATACTACACTGAAGCATAATGGCTCAGTTATTATGGGATCAAATCAAATGACATTCTGCATGCAGATAGTACATGATGGGACCCATGGAAAAACACTTCTAATTTTGTTGCCAAGGTAACAATATCGTTCCCAGGTCCCTTGCGCAAATTTTATAAAACAGCTTTATTTATGGTACTGATAAAAATAAAATAATATCAGAAGTATGTGTACCATATCTATGCATGCCAAAAGTTTACTTGTTTAATAATAATTCGAAAATGACATACACATAGATAAATGCAACTAGTTATTCAAAATCAGTGTATGGGGCCTGGGGACGACTGTGTTGCCTTGACAACGAAATTAGAAGTATTTTTCCATGGGTCTCATCATGTACTATCTGCATGCAAAATTTCATTTGATTTGAGCCCATAATAATTGAGCTATGCTTCAGTGTAGTATTCAATAAACAATCTTACCAGCTAATGACGTCACACTTTGTGCTGAATCAGCAATTTATATTTTGCACATTTTTGCATATAACTTCGGAACTACAGATGAGATAGAATAGAGCATTAAACGGCCAAGTGGCTTATTTTTTCATGCACTTTCAGATGAAGCAATAAAATGAATAAAATTGCCCATACCCTTTAAACAAGGTCACAGAATAAGGAAGCACAACATGCTATTATTTTTTTCCTGCCAAGTTATAGTTTGTTGTTACTTCATCTTGCAAGGAGATAGTGCATCAACGATAATAACAATATAAAAACGCTAAATATGGCGCACTATCCGTAACTTGAAATATGCCTGACCCTAACATGGCCGAAACTATTCTTTTGATCTAATATAAAGTAGTGACCTGTCTAACCTATTACACAAGACTACTTCACAACTAGGCCCACTTCCATAAATTAAAATCTATTATTTATGAAAATCATTATTTCTGCAAAGTATTTATTTTAATCCCTATTTTGAATTTATTTTATATTCTGAGAGGTCCAGAAGGGGGTCCAGAAGGGGACCAGATGGGGGTCCAGAAGGGGGTCCAGATGAGGGGGTCCAGCTTTTGTACACTCCCGTTAACTTACGCACAGCCTTGTGATGCAGTACAAGTACAAGTACAAATACAAATGACAAAGCATTTTTAAAAGCTTTAAATTCTAAAACATAATTAAATCATACGGCACATTCAAGATTTTAATATTGTATTTCAGCTGCGTTTATACTGCTTGGCGCGCATTTGCTGCGTTATATTAATTTATATACCTATGTTATATACACATATTTATTACTAATAAATCAACACTATATGATAATATAGAACTCACAAAGTGTGTCACCTTTTATAAATAAACCTTTTTAAAAGCATGTCATTGTCATTGCAGACCAGAGGCAAAAAGCACAGCCACATACCAAATTTAAGCAATCGTGTGATTATTTACATGGAAAGATTATATGCAAATTATGTTAAAAGCACCCCGTATAATGACAAAAGCACCACGTATAATACTCGAAGCCTCGAACCACTGCGTATAATGGCGAACACACTGCATATAATGGCGAAAGCACCACATATAATGCTCGAACCACTGCGTATAATAGCGAAAGCACCGCATATAACGCTCGAACCACTGCGTATCGACAAAATGCTGTTTGATCACTTACGCCAGCTATGCAGCTTTCCATAAAAGAAAACCAAAGATGAAAGATGATCACATTGCTTGTTTGGCTTATGCCTGTTTATTAGGCAAGAATAGCCTGCCGGCCCGGAAGCAGTGCATTGTGGTAGGCCGAAATATGCCGAAACGTTCGAGATTTCATCTGCATATATATAATACATATACATAAAGATTAGGTCTGCTGCCTTGCTCGCTCGCTTCAGGCTCGCTCGCTGCGGCAGCAACTAGACCTAAAAATGAACATAAATGAAAAATGCAACATTACAGTCGATTTCACAAAACTTTTGCCAAAATGTTCCAAACTTCGTTCCGAAGTTCGCAAAGTTCGTTTCGAAGTTCACAAGTTCAACAGTGAAATTCACAAACCGGTTTGTAAACAAGACCTCTGATTGGTCCATGAATTGAAAGAAGCCAATCAAATGCTTAGTTTACAAACCAGATTGTGAACTTATGAACTTGGAAACTTCAAACATTGGAACTGCGAAATGAACTTGCAAACTTTGAAACGAAGTTCGGGATATTTTGGCAAAAGTTATGTGAGAAATCGACTGTAAGTCAATGGACCAATGGCACAACTGGCCTCAATCTGTAGCTCAGTTGGTTAGAGTGCTGCAATGGAATTGTATGCAATGGAACATTGTGCTAGTTTGCTGTTATATTTGCATGCACCACTAGCACAACATTTTACATAAATACTTTTCAATCTAACAACATTAGGCGACTTAAAAATGCCTTTTGTGTGGTTGTAAATTTTCTTCAAACCTCGTCCTAAAATATGTGAAATAGCATTCTAATGAATCTAGAGATTCAAAATTTTCTCAGGGGAGCATGCCCCCAGGTGGACCTGTCTACATTCATTACTCAGAGTCAAAAACTCAAAATGCCATAAAATCCCCCCACCAGTTTAAACCCTGGCTACTCCACTGCCTAAAACTAATATTCAATGGAGTGAGCTGCCAACAAAATCTTGATTACTCACAGGCTATCAACTATCAAAAGCATGTTTTCATACAACAAAATACCTCACAATTCCCATTATTAACCGTGTTCAAAATACCCTATTAATCCTGCTACATTTTGCGTGAGCCAAAACACCTGCCAAAACAGGACTTTGCATTCATAAAATATTGGCTGATATCGTACTGCCAAAGTTTAAAAACACTTGAAATAACAACAACGCACACAACACTTACATTGCTCGGTTTTCGTGGATTTTCCTACAGACATAAAAGCGCCTCTTTCCTTCCGTTCACTCGGCCTAATTCAGCAGATTTGTTGTCTTTATGCAATCAATTTATCTCGTATTAAAATAATTAAAGTTAGACGTGTGCGGTACAACACAGTCAAAACACAAAATCATCAGTGGTAATTAAAGCACATTTAGTATGTTTTGCCACGGATTGTCCAATATTTATTAAAACATCGCACAAAGATGGACGATCATGGTTCAATGTTTTGCCATAAAATGCGATGTTATCGAGATTGAAGCCACAGACATTTCCATATCTAATATCTTGACTATATTTACACCTGTCAAAGATTTTCGAAATATATGCACATGAAGTGTTATATAAATTGTTCTTTTTGAATTGCACAGGACACCCAAGCAGGTTGGTAGGACAAATGCGGATGACGGATGCGAAAAGGCGGATGAAGGGGTAAAACACGGATGATGGGATAAAACGCGGATGGGGAGAAAACGGTCTTCATATCCAGGGAGTTTCTAGAAACACATCCATGCAACAATCCCTCACAAACCCCTCACATATATTTTTAAAACATTGATTTAACTTGAAGTATTAGTAATTGGCCAACACTAAACGTAGGCTCGGTTCTAACAGCTCCCTGGATTTGATAGTCATGGCAACACGATCATTTTTACATTTAAAAAAAATTGTACTAAACGACGAAAAAATTAGTACTTTTAACTACACAGCAGATTATTTCAATGTATATTGTAGGTATGCTATTTTGTGACTTTTGTAAACGTAAAATTTCATCTAAAACGCTTCGTAAAATGTTTCGAAATGTTTATTCAACTGAATTGCTTTTGACAAACTGTTTCTAAATTAATGAAACAGAATAAGTTGAAATTATTGAATAATATCAGTGACTATTTAAGCTGGGGTTTTTTTCAATACTAGACTCCCCTTATTACGTTTTCGTAGCGCTTTGCATTGTAGTTATAGTGGTATCATTAATATTCAAGATGGCTTATTTTTTGTCCTGACCCGTGCAATTAGGACATTTAAAAAATGCTAGGGTCAGGAGCGCGATAGCCAACAGCAAAATATTCGCGAAAACATTCAATATTTTCATTCGAGGCCGCTATCTTTATCAGTGATACCACTATAACCACAATGCAAAGCGCTACGAAAACGCAATAAGGGGGATCATCAATTAAACAGAGTAATTGTACAAGTACATTGATAAGCAACCCAGAAGTTTAAGGAATGAAAACTACTGCATGCATGAACTAAGGCCCCGTTTACATGAGACCGGGATGAAGTCAAACCGGAATGAAAATTGAAATTGTCGACATGTTTACACGAGACCGGTACGAAAATCACAAAATTTTCAATTTATTTCCCTTGCCAGGCAATTTTCTTTTTCAGATGGCTTTTGTTAGCATGTGTTGTTCCAATGTCAAGGTTACAGCCGAGACCGGTCTGAAATGTATTTGTGTTTACATTCATCCCGGTCTGAATTCATGCCGGTCTGAAGTCAGTCGGTTCGGTTCAGCAGGCGGAATGACTTGAGACCGGTCTGAGTTATTTTAGTCCCGGTCTCATGTAAACATCTATTATAGATAATACTATGACCGAAACGAAATGGTCCCGGTTTGACTTCGCGGAATAAATAGAGAATACATGGGTGCGCGGAAATACCAGATTTATTTCGAGTGTTGAACATGATTTCTCACGAGTGAGCGGCTGAGCGCAGCCGAGAAATAAATCTGGTATTTCCAAGCACCCATGTATTTTTCTGTTTATTATATAAAGAACAGTCTTGAAAAGCGATAATTTTTACAGAAAAGCGATAATTAAAAAGCGATAATTTTCACATGTGAGATTATCATGAATAATCTCACATGTGAGATTATCACTTTTATCAGTGCTCGAAGTACTGTTTAATAAACGAGCAGGAGTGTTTTATTAGGTTTAAAGCCACAAGCGCGCAGCGCGAGTGGCTTTAGACCTAATAAAACACGACCTGCGAGTTTATTAAACGGCTTCAAACACGACTACAAATTCAATAGAAATACTGCCTTATTGGTATTCTTTATATAAAGAATGCTAATGAGGACACGACTACAATAGATACTGCTTTATTAGTATTCTTTATATAAAGAATACTAATTAGGAGTGTTTTATCAGGTTTAAAGCCACTGCACATGACATATTATGGTTGACATGCATGATTTGCCAATAAGCTTATGAATTATTAATGAGTGTTTGAAATCTATTTCAAAAACTCATTAATAATTCATGAAGCAATTATTCAATCTTGAGTAAGAAATTAGTCACGTGCATACGTCTTTATACCAGCTAAAGAACACTTTAACAAAAGACCATTGTTATGCAAACTATATAAAGGTTTTTATATAAAGATTTTTATATAAAGATTTTTATATAAAGATTTTTATATAAAGATTTTTATATAAAGATTTGACTTATTATGCATACGTTTTTGAAGTCATTTAAAAAACTCGCGGGTCGTGTTTTATTAGGTCTAAAGCCACTCGCGCTGCGCGCTCGTGGCTTTAAACCTAATAAAACACTCCTGCTCGTTTTTTAAATAGTACATAAAGCACTATACTTTATATAAATGCGTGTAAAGCATAGATATCTTATATACACTAGATAGCGCACTCATAGTAAAATTGAAGCCAAGAATATTCCAGCGGTAACCCCCATTTGAATAGATGGCGGCCATGTGAGCAGTTCCCACTCGCTAATAAACGCTTAAAAAACAACAATAACTTTCATCATTCGAATAGTTTAAAAATGTATTTGGAATAGGTTTAACTTAATAATGTTTAAGTTCCTTGTTTAAGAAATAGAAAACATACGAATCTTCTCATTTCATGGGAATATCTTGAGTCTGCAATCACGGCTTCAATTTTTGAATTGCAGAATAATTAGATGCACTATCTAGTGTATATAAGATATCTATGGTGTAAAGATGTCACATTTCAAACTTCGCCATAAACTGATGAGTGATGACCAAGAATAGTGGCGTCAGAAATCGTTTTCATACGCCAGGACACAGAGTAAATACATATACAGAGCTGTAACTGACCGTTGTAAACACTGCGGAAGCTTACGTTTTCATGTACCCACTTTTTTTCAGGCGACCGGCCAAAAAATGATCAAATGCGCATGCACGGCAAGTTCCGCGAGCAGTTAAAGCGAGTCGTCATCCAATCAGATGCATGCATCTAGAAACTTGCCGAGCATGCGTACAAAAAAAGTGGTACACTAGTTACAACTCTGTAGATGTATCTACTCTGTGGCCAGGATAAGAATTGTATACGACTAATCGTATCGTGTAGATGGGGTCGACGGGCCTTAAGAGGCAGCAATTAAAATTTCGTCAATTTCCCCGCATTAATTTCTGTTTTGTAGGGCTACGGGTCACCGATTGCGAATAATCTATTGGAATTTTAAAAGCGCCTAATGTTAAAAGGCAGCGCACGAGTCCTTCATATTTTAAGTTTCTTGTATACATGAAAAAATTACTCGATTCTGATTGGCTAAGAGGTGCACAAAAGAACAGTGCCGAAAAAGAACACAGTGCCAAAAATGAAATACACGCATCGCCAAAAAAAGAAATACATGGCAAGCGCCAAAACAAAAGACATTTTGATTTAGGTTTTCACTTCTGGCAGTAAAAACTTGTATTAGCTAATTGTTTAACAATTCAAATGAGCAAATTGTTTAACTTTTAAGCCTGTTTTCTGAAACCGACCGCTACACGTCAGCAATCGATGCCGACAGAGGAAAAAACTGCTTTGCCCGAACAGACTTGCCTAGTAAAAAACAGGCTTTGGCTGTGTTTCATGCCTGTTAATGACAATATATATTTGCTTCGAGGTCGGGAATCTTCGAGTTAAGCCCTTCGAGTTAAGCCCCTCGAGTTAAGCCCTTTTCGAGTTAAGCCCCGACCACGCCCTGTTTTGCCATGACCACGCCCTTTTTCAAAAAGGGCTTAACTCGAAGAACGAAACACGTTTTGGGTCATTCGAGTTAAGCCCCGGGGGCTTAACTCGAAGTTTGACAAAAAAATTGTTGCTCGAGTTAAGCCCCGACTTTTGAAGTATGTCAACGAGTGCAATATTAAATTGTCAAATTTTCAATACAAAAAAGCCAGAGGCCAAAGGCAAAGCACAGAAATTTTCCCAAAAAGAACTTATATATCGCTAATGTAATACGATTATCAAAAACAATCAGAACTAATTAATATTAAATTTAACAACACTCAACAGGTAATTACTTTTAGTGGATCGTTTATCCACAACAAAACAACAAAACAATTAATATTTTAATTATAAAGTAGATAGAATCCTAACTCGTTCCTTTTGTTTCAATGTGCACAATATCGACAAATGAACAGTTTTACTGTAACAAGAAAGGTACAACCTTCTCCCATCACCTTGAACAAAACTAATCTATTAAGAAAATGATCGAAAATTACAGCACGTAATAACTAAAGAAAAAGGGAGGAAAGGGAAGGAATTTCGGTATAGAATGATCTGACTTTGACAACTTGCGCGCAGAGACTCACGCCTAGCCAAATGGTTATGACTTATGAATCACGAATGGTTTCATTTGGGTAAACAAACTATCACGGGGATAAATTGTTACATTTGAGTAAAATACCCAAATGTAACAATTTATCCCCGTAATAATGGCGCTACGTCACCATTTCGTTTATAAAATTACTAATCGCTCAGGAAATATTCCCTTTTTAATAATACAAGTCAACGTAGCGCCATTATTACGGGGATAAATTGTTACATTTGGGTATTTTACTCAAATATAACAATTTCTCCCCGTGA